AATGATGAATAAATACTTCCCGTTATCGACTGGATCTCAAACCATTATAGCTTATTCGCTCTGTTTTAAAAAAAAGTGATGAATATGAAAAGGCCAGCCAGTTCACTGGGAGATTTTTTGTTCCCTAAAAGCACGTTGGGTTTTAAACAGAATACATTCCTTTCATTTAAAAATTATTGCTGCTCTTTCTGTGGAAAAGAAGTGCCTTGTATGTCTGGTCATTATTTTTTTGGATGATGCCTTTAAAGATGCAGTTTGTTTTCCATCAAGTGTAAGCTCATTGTATGCCATTTATAAATTGATGGTCTGTGTTAAATCATTCCCTTTATTCCTTGCTCTGTTCTCCTATAGCAGCCGTGGCAGATGGTCGTCCCTACCCCTGACACAATCCCAGCCACAGCTGGACTGAGAAATCTATACACCACATTCATCTCCCCAGTGTTGTCAGCCAAAAGCATTGCAGCGGAGAAAGTCACCAATTACAAAGAAGAGAAAGCAAGGGCTCATGAATAGCCTTGCTTTTGGTACCTTAGATAACTACTTGCAGTGTATAAATAGCTAACAGCGCCAATCTACTGCTGAAACTCTGATGCCTACAACTGTCACATCTTTTTTATACACACTTAATCTGCATTCGGACTGGAATTAAATACAAATGTAATGCACGTACAGTACCAACAGCTATTTCTTTATCTTCACCTAAGAAACGACTTCGACTGCTGAACAAAGTGTGAAACTGTAAAATGTTCAACAACGTTACAAAAGATATGTTTTACTCTAGATTTCAAAGTATTTAACAGGTTTTAATAGCAGTAATTTATACGGTGGAATTTCAGAAACATGAAATGTTTGGCAACAGCAGAGGAAAGTCTTCTCTTGATTCCGTCCTTCTGATTCAAAAAGCTTGCAAAGGTACTGAAACTCATTTAGTGTTTAGCTGTAAAGGACTGTACAAGTAAGTCACACCTGATATCTGAATGACATAAGCACCAAATCAGAAAAGGAACAAAAGATTAATGTTGATGCCTTCAGTCTATTTTCTCAAATACAAATACACAAAATGTGTCTGGATAAGTTCATGAACATTGTCCAGAGAAACAGACTGTAACAATTAGCTCTGATGCCACTCGAAACAATCTAATCCACAGAGCTTCCATTCTGATGCAGTATATCAAGTGCTGAAGATTGTGAAGAAGCCAAGATTGATTCCTACTTTAACTCAATCTAATGTTCTCACCTGAACCTTGAGGTGATCTAACATTGGAGATGTTATTTTAGGCATCAAATTGGGGGTCATCTGCAGGTGAAATTTAGCTACTGTATGTGACACATAGTACACCATGTAGCACTGAGGCCCTGGGTTCAATTTCCGACCGGGGGTTTTATCTGCATGTAGTCTGTGTGTTCTTCCCGTGTTTGTGTGGGGTTCCTCCAGGTGCCCCAGTTTCCTCCACAACTTGTCCAAAGACATGCTGGTGGGTTAATTAGCTTCTGGGAGAATTGTCCCTGGTGTGAGTGTGTGTGTCTGTGTCTGCGTGTGCCCTGTGATGTACTGTCAGTATGCTCTGTGACTGAGTACACGTGAAGGGGCTCTTGCTCCCCCATGACCCTGTATTGGATTAAGTGGTTTGAAAATGAACGGATGGACAAACACTCACATGGGAAGCAGAGCTGGAGAAATGTTAACATTCAAATTTTAAGCCAGGGTCCGAGGTTGAAACTCTTCAAGTGCTACGTTCACTTGAAAAGCATACTGTAAAATTGTCGAGAGGTCACCACAGATTGAGAGTTAGAAAACAGAGTTGCCTGTATAAACACTATAAATCTGTGCCTTCTGTGCCTTTACACTGGGATCTTCAGAGATCAGACTGCAAGGGCCTTGCTATGTAATGAACAAATGAAGACTCAATAAAGTGAAAATTCCTCTCGTTTATCAGTAGCTCTGACTTTCTATGCTAACAATAAAATTTCTGAAACCCTGGGTAACCTTATGGTGATGTTGGAGCGAATACAAAGTAGGCGGCCTAAGTAATTGTGCATTGCTTGCTTCCAGACCAAGTACCTGACCTTCAGAACTTGACTTTCTGGCAAAAGCAGACTGCACCAAATGCTTCACAGCAAACTGGCCAACCAAGGAATAAGCACAGGGATAAAATACTAACTAAAAACAATGCTTAGTCTATGAACACCTTAGTTTTTAAAATCTAATTAAAATGTTTAAGGTTTTAAAATGACTTTTAAGTCAAAAGTGCTGGTTTTCTTTAATAACATTTAAATGTTATTGAGGAGGTCCAGAAAAAAAGATGAATCTTGTCTAGGATGTTTACACTGAAACTCTCCAAGTATAACACCCTGAGGAAACTAAAATACAACATTTCTTGATGTTGATGATTGTTATTGTAAGGACATACAGACAAACTACACAACTACAAGACGACACACCGTTTAACTGCAGTAGCACCTTTTAAGATGACCCTGAGTACTCTGCAATATACTCAATATACTATGAATTGTTTATACTCTTAAGCTAAGCACAGAAAAACATTCCAGCAGGATGTACATTGTAAAAACAAAAGGGCATGTATGTGTGTGGTATGTTTTGTTGGAGTGCTTTGAACATAGACAGTGCTGAGGGAAAAAAAATGGGAAACTCATTTTAGAGTATTTGCTGATTACCTATAAACACACTTCTGCAGAGGATAAAATACTGGCTGGCTTATTGATTGCACCATGATTTGTAGCATTTGTGATTATATCAGACTCTAGACGCTTAGATTATTATGGCCCATTTCCAAATGCATGTAGCGTATCCCAACTAAGGAATATACATTGATATTCATTCATGACTTATGAGACAATTTAATTTATTATATTAGTATGTTTAGTAAGAAATATCCAAATATATTTTTGTCAATTAAATAATATAATAGAAAGGTAAGTCATGCTTAAGATGTTTTCAGAAGTGACATATCAGGGGGCAGACTACAGTATATTCCTTTAGGAATGCTGTTGATCTGTTCAGACCATATTCTTAGCATTCTGCTGAATATATTCCTTTATTGTTTAATATGTTCTCTGGTTAGCTACAGTATATATGTGTGTGGGCATAGATTACCATCAGTTTAGGGAAAATATTTCAGACAAATCTGCACGAAGATAGTAACTCCTGAAAAACAGAAACATACAGTATAATCTTTCCCACTAAGCAAAAATGACATCTTTATTTTTCTTAAACCAACTGGCACTTTCTTTAAAATCTATAGGCTCCAGAACTGTTTCTGGTTTACTTTCACTTTGCATATGAAGCTTCATTTGAGCTTGAAATAGTAAATAAAAATAGACTGAGAGCCAATGGAACATCCCCAGAAAGACAGCATGATATCACACATATCTGTGAGCGATTATTTGTGAAAAAAACTGAAAGAGAATGTGTGCTGTTTCTCTCTCTTCCCCATTCTTGTGATTCATATAATTTGATAATTGAGATTATATTACAGACTTCAGTATAATTTAGAAAACAGATGATTTTGTTGCAGAAATTGTTCTGTTTGTTTAGCCACACCAGGATCTCACTGAAATCAGATATTTCTGTCTGTTCTCTCAAGGGGCTTGTTTATACTAAATCAGCATGAATAAAAATATATATAAAAAAAACAAAGATGAATTGTGTTGAAGTACACTTCTTTGTTCTTCTTTTCTCCTGTTCTGCCGCAATAGCTGAGAGACACCTCATTACTGACAACACTAGGGTGTGGATGCTGTGTGCACGTTTTTCGATCATGGGTGCAGCCATCTTTAGAAAAGGCCTTTATGTGGAAATAGACACCTATTATAACTTAAGGTTAATTGAGTGGATTAGCCTTTAGCTAAAAATATCATTCTAGTTTCGACCATTCTGAGAATAAAGGGAATGTTTTACTTTTAAAGCCAAAACCACAATGGTGCTAAACATCACAAAGTCAACGCAAGTCAGATATTTAAGGGATCTGATGCTGACCTCGGCTTTCATTCTTTTATAGCGAATTCAGCTTTCATTCAATGACAACGATTTAGATTCGGCAGACGAAAAAATCAAAAAATAAAAGCACGACAAAGATTTGAAAATGTATTTTGAAACTACTAATACGACACCAAATTACCATGTCCTAGTCGTTTTAACATCATACTTTATTCAACTCTCAAATTAAGTTAATGTGTCCTCTTTCAAGACTGAATCAGCATATCGATTTTCGACCACGTAACTGTTTAATAATATATGCTGCCCTGCTGCAAATCATCTCACAGAGAGCACGATTTTCGTAAGCTCATACACTGAGCCTGTACTCTTTGTCAAAACTGCTTGAAACTATGTTAAGACTCCATTATTTCTCCATTTTAATAAAGGAGAGCTGCGACGTCTTAAGCATGTCGATGTATATGCTTTTGTATTGAACAATCAATTTAAAGCTTCTACAAAGCAGCCCCTTCCAGTGGCTTCTGTAGAGCTCGCCAGTGTCCATGGTGCTGAAACACCGCATCAGTTCTACCAACAATTATTCTGTAGCAATTAAGAACGAATCTCATTTTTATAATTACCATACTGGTTTGAACCTTACATCTACTATTCATCTTGGCATTCGACAGTTTACTGGAAAGCACTGACGTTTTGATGACATTCAGTGACCGACGAAATCTATCCTGCACCCTGAGTCACCTTAAAAAATACTCAGGAGCCTGTATAACCACGCCAGGAACAAAACCTAAGGGACGACACAGACCGTGAGTTATGGATTCGCTAAAAACTGAAGGCTTGCTCACGACTACTACTTAACTTCTGTGGATTTAAATAAATCAAGCAATAACCGCAAGATGTACAGTAGAGTATATTCCCTGGTTTTCTTTTGGAAACCGGTGCTCAGATCACCTATTACTGAGTACAGCTAACCATTGAAGACGAGTAACGCGTGGAATGAGTATTGTAGCACTGCCCGAATCCTGTTCCGTGATACTCTCGACCTTACCTTCTCTGTCACAGAGCTGAATCGCCTCCAAGCTCAGATTCTTGATCATGTCCTCACACGGGCTGGTGGGACTGCTTATGCTATGTCCCATGCGTGGGACCTCCATGTCTTCAGTTTCACGTGGATTGCTCTTTCAATTTCTGAACGCCGTGCCACAAGACTAGCCTTCACCTTGAATAGAGTCTCCAGTCTACGGGGTTTTTTTCTGCTTTTCTACGGGTCCTCTTCCAGTGGGGAGGCTGAGGCAGCGTCAGCGGCTCGTCATGGACGCCCAGCACACTGCTGATTTGTTACTGCAACGTGAGAGGCTGAGGAGAAATGTAGGAAAGCTGAATCTTTTTAATTTGCAGAAACAAACAGCGCACCGTCATCGTTCTTCATTGGGCGTTTATATATTAATGATTTATCGTCTTGCTTGCGAGCCACAAGTGTTCATACTGCCTCTAGCTTGTATAAAGGATTAGCAGGGAATGAACAGTAAATTCGATGACTTCTTATGTAACAAGATTACCCTGCCCCCACCATTTAAATCTCATTTTAAATCTCTACAGCTTCCCTTAACAGTGTAGCGCTGAAATAACATCACCAACAAATTTCAAGACAGTTTCCATTTTTTTTAGGTAAAGGGGGTTAGGGAAAAATGCCTTGGTTCTTCAATAGCTAGTGGTTGAAATCCAGGTGCAACCATTTGGAATTGACCCTTTCGTTTTCACAGGAAACAAAATAACCTCTTTCGTAGAAAGCACTGTGCAGTACCACGTCTTTTGTGTGCTGAAATTCCCGATCCAAATTTAATTTATTCTGAAGCCATCGCGCCACACTCCGTTGGACAACGGCTTTATTGTTGATGGCACAGCAAGAACAGAGGTCCTCAGTGACCAAGCAGAATTTAGAAACTTCTTCCAACCAGGAAAGTCACAAAACACATATCTGTGATACATAACACTTGGCTCCTAGATGCCGATTGCTTTTAGACGAATGTGTATTATCTAATTAACCTTCTCGTTATGTAATCCAATCCCCAATACAACGATTTTCCCCTACAATCCACTACTCTGCAACAAAGCAACAGCTGGCGCAATGCAAGGGGAAGCGTTTCAGAATATCCGCAGCAGGCAACATCAGAAAACTAGATCAGGCAGCGACTCGGGAAAGCTAGACGAGTGTAGTTTTCTGTATTTTCCCTTTATCTGACGCACGTTTTCGGCTTCTTTTTAGAGATTATTGTTTATATTGGAGTACTACAGGTATTTCACAAGGTTAGTATTCACAAAAACATCTTTCCGTTCTTGAGTCTCTGGCCTTCTGCCCACTGCTTTATCAGTGCATTTCCTGCTGTACATTGGAGGGACATATTGAAACTGCACAAACAGTACAGTAAAGTAAACTGAGTCTTATAATTGTTTCAAGATTAAATCCATGTTTAGTTCAGCACCAACAATGCTAAATAGAATAATTAATAATTAATATTAATTATTAACCCATAAATCACCTTTCTGTAACCTAAGAATCTATCTAGTTTTGTAACTGTTGATGAAACCAGAAGATGAGGGCTAGGCAGAGCAATGGTTTGATACCCACTCTTTCACTTCTGCTTTTGAATATGTTTTAAATGTTCAGCTAAAATACCTGAATGACTGCTGCAATCTGCTCAACTACTTTCTTTCAACACAAAGCACACAAAAACAACCCATCCTCTCAGTGACACAGACACATTCTAACACGTAAAGTTCTATCTGGTTTGTATAGGTACTCACTTGAATTAGAGGGGCCATAGTGTCTCTGATCACGAGGACTAAATGTAGGAAATAGTTATATTCTCCTCCATGAAGTAACCAAACCACATTCTTTCAAGACCTAGATAGTGTAAGATCACTGATCGCATAAGATCACTGAGTCTAACAGAGAGATGAAACATTCAAGAGAGGTCATATTGAGACTGTAAGGTTTTTAGGTAGCTTTTTTCTAGTGTGTTGTTCTTACTATCAGATATTTTTATATTGTACATTCCTTCCTATATGCATTATGTATTACAGAGACCAAAAGTACTAAACAACATTTATACTAAATGTTTGGTCACTAAGGATCTTGTGTATAGCCATGAGTAAAAGTACAACTTTTAGCTTCCCAAGGTTCACAAAAAGAAATATATATTTACCGTTTTTAATTTAGTTTACAGTTTATGCTGTCTTTTTGCTTGTTAAAGTCTAAAGCAGCGTTGCCCACTGAAATATTGCGGACAGCCACAGAAGAAATTCTGACAAGCCATATAAATATTACAGTCCCCAAACATTATAATCAGAATGCATTACAACACCCTCATCCCTTAGAATTTTGGTAATAAGTCAAATTGATTATTTCATTCTGGGCAACAACCAATAAGAAAAGCATGTTTAATAGTTTTTGACTGGGCAAATAACTAAAAAGTATGCTAATTAAAGTTACAATATGACTTCCAAAAGTAGAATAAAAATGAACACCACTAACCAAAACATACATACTGTAAAAACGGTTGAGCAGAGGTGACTGGGACAGATCTCTGGGTCATAATTTGACTTTTTAGAACGTTTTTGTTTGTGGAATATACTCTAAGGAACATAGATAAAAATATTTAACTCCCATACACACAGAGTACACAATAGTACACAAACCACCATGGAATAGTGTCCCATTGTGGTTTGTTTCAACAGAACTTTGTAAGCCACACTTCCTTTCCTGCACACAGTACTATATGAGACACACACAACAGCAGGTGTTGGTACTGCAGTTGGGAGAGGGCTTTGGTGCTGTAATTTATTCGGGACCACCTTCCTTGTCTCTGCTGCTGCAATCTGCTCAACTATTTTCTTTCAGCACAAAGCACACAAAAACAATCCATCCTCTCAGTGGCACAGACACATTATACCACAATGTCAAGTAAAAAAAAACAATGACAGATTTATTAAGTAGCTCTGGGTAGTACAGTTCCAGATCACAATCCAGTTATAAAATAATTTATTAGACTCTGCTGCGTTTGAGTTCAGTTTTTTTTTAATTTCCTTCAAGGGTAAGGCGTCCACATATTGTATATGTACACTATGCTGCTTAACCTGTTTCAGTGATGAAATATGTGTTTTCTGCACCCTTCTATCTTAATTATGTTTTGGAAATAAATATTTCTCATTGATGTTCTGATGACCAAATAAAACCTGTAACACTGCCCAGTCCATATAAGGACATGTATAAGGTTACAAACAAGAGGAGGTAATTCGGCCCCTCTTGCCCATTTAGTAGTTAGTAGTTAACTGATCCAAGGATCTCATCCAGATGTTTCTTGAAGGAAGTCAGAGTATCGGCTTCAATAAACTAAGAAGCTTGTTTCATGCTCCCACATCTACAACATGAATGTTGACCAGATGAGGATGGAAAGAACATGGATTCTGTCTGTGTCAGAACATTAAAAAACAACTGGGGACAGGTAGCACGAAAGGCTTTATGAAATTATTGTAATTTAATCTGCCTCCCTCTTAGATCTGAGTAGACAGTTAAAAACTGCAGGTCAATTTCAAATGTGTTTGGTTGTGATGACAGTGCTGAGAATGAATCAGAGCGAATGGGTGACTGTGCTGGGACACAGACTCCTGCCAGGTCAGTAGTCACTTCTGTTCTTGACAAGGTAGCAAGCGGACTAATGAAATGTTCAACATATTCAGACAGGGAGTATTTCACAGACAAACACCTTCTTTCTTGATGTATAAGATAAATGTCAGCACAGCTACAATCAAAACATGAGGCACTAGGACCGTTGTGCAATTTGATGATTTTCAATTGATCATTTTCAAATGATACAATATACGGACAAGATTAATATGTTACTGTTTCCAAAGCTAATAAATTGTTAATTCACTGTTTTTTTGGGCATGAGATTATTTAGAAGAAGGAGAACACTTTAAGCTAGTTTCACATTTGGCTTTTCTTGGACAAAATCTGTCAAAAACAAATTGCCCTAATACATGCAATTTAATATAATTATAATTATTATGATTCTGGTATGCAGCAATTACTGCATATTTAAATGATACATTCTCCAAATGGCCAATTTATGAACAAACACTGTAAGGGAGGTTTATGTTATATATAGTTACATTTAAGCTATGAAATGAAAAAAGTTTTGTAATAAAAAGTGTCTGGGTTTGGAGAAGGAAGTTTAGTTTTAAAAGGAAACAAATAGAGAAGAACATTTATTTGTAGGTAATAAATCAGGAATTGCAATAAAATGGAACTATGGAGCTGTGTACAGAGAAATGCCCAAACAAAGTATGAGTATGAGCAAATGCTGAATACATTGCCCAGAAAATAGATAAAGATTTAATTGGAATTCACAACTGGTGGGCAAACACCTAGCAGATAATGTTCATTGCACACAAATGCAGAGTGTTACATGTCAAAAGCAAAAAAAAAATCTCTAGCTATGAAATGGGACCTGCTGACCTTGACAAGACTATGTGTAAAAATGACTTAAGGCCATACATTGACACATTTACATCTAGATAATTTGAGGAAATAATGAAAAAAGCAAACAGAATATCAGGACATACTGTATATTATAATGGATATAATATAGAATATAAATCATGTTAAAATTGTACAATGCACCAGTAAGAGCTCATTTAGAATATAGCGTTCAATTTTGGTTAAACATTTTAAAAAATGACACTGCTGTTCTGTAATCACTCTTGAGACAAACAACTAGATACATTCATTGGCTTAAAGGAATATCCTACAGTGACAGGGTAAAAGAACTGAACCTCTCCAGTCTTAAACAGAGAAGATTACGAAGGGACCTGATTGAAGTGGTCAGAATCCTTGGCAGCAAACTAGCCAGTGGACTTCAGAATCAGCAGTGAAACACAAACGAGAGGATTGAAGTGGAAACTATGTGAAAACGGATTTAAAATGAAAACAAGAAAAAACGTGGAAAAAAAAAACTATTCTTACAGTCATTAGGTCCTTATTCTGACCCTATCTATACCTTACCTTAGGGTTTAATGTACTGTGATAAAACCTACTCTCGATCTCCTTTGTTCTAGTCTAAAGCTACATTTCCTTTAACCTGTCAGTATATGACAATCCCCAGAGACCAGGATTCATTTTTGTTGTTCTTCTTTGATCATTCTAAGACTGTAAGCTTTATGTGGTATGCTGACTGATACTGAACACAACATTTTAAGTAAGGTCTTACTAAAGAATTGTTCATTCTTGGGGATAACCTTCTTATTGCTGTATTTCTAAGATTTTTGATAGTTGTATTACTTCTCCGTATGTCTTGATGAGGACAGAATACACAGACCCTTTTTATTCATAACTAGGTGGAGCTTGGATTCAAGCATGTGATATGACTTGTTCTGCAAAACATTACCAATGCACAGAAAAAAATTACATGCCTGCCATATTTGGAATCTAAAAACTACATTTTTCTTCAGAAATTGTAACATTTGTTGCC